CAGAGTAACCAACCATCAGGATTACACTAAAAATCGTACCTGCAGCATTATTCAAGCTCTTCCCTGGTTTCATCACCCCATATTAACCTAGAAACTTCTGTTATTCTTTTTATGTTTCAGAGGTGACACCAAATACATGAATGAGAGCCTATATATCACCAGTATCACTTTCTTTGGCCTAGATAGTATCTGACTCAGGGTGGTGTAAGCAGGAATTCATTCATTCTTTTCTTTCCCTTTCAGTGGATTTCTGTCATATTCTGCATAGATATATGTAAAAATAATTTTAATTTTCAAAAGGGTGTGGCTTCACTATATTGATGGGAATAATAGATTCTATTTGGCAGTTTTTAGCTAGGAATTAGGAACTTGGCACTATCTGGCCATCGGGGGGAGGATAAAAGTAAATAGGCATTTTTTGCATCCAGACAAATAAATAGCAAGTTGTGGCTTGATTGCCTGTAGAGTTGCAGAAGAAAGTCTTATTAAATTCATCTTCCCTGCTCGCTGTGTATTGATGGGGTACCAGTTTCTACATGCTGGTCTGGCAAGCTCCTGCTGTGTAAAATGGGTGGATTCAGGTCTCGGTCTGATTGTTACTTGCTGGATGTAACAAGGGGTTCTGCTGTATAAATGTATTTAAAAATTGAATTGTTGGCCCTTTCAATGTGCTTTTTGCAACCTTGGAGCCACGTGTGATTTGACTGTAAGTTAATTTGCCAGTTAGGTACTAGAGAAGATGGAACTATTTGCTGTGCTGCGTAGTGGGAGCAGTTAAAGAAGTGGTTTCTGGTCTCTGCCTGCACTCATACTGTTCAATATAATAAACCCAAAACATTCGGTTGCTTCAGTGCTTCTCTCTTGCGCAATTTTCTTTTTAAGTGAACGTAGACGCTGTATTCCCAGCGCTGTGGGGTCTGTTGACTTCAATGGAGTTTGCCGTTAAGTGGAGCAAAGGCAGGGTCTCGCCACGTAACTAGAAATGCTGTAAGGGAATATACTTAGCAATGACCTAAGATCCTTCTAGAGTTACTGACTTCATGTTTCCAGCTTCCCATTGGCTCCTGCACCGCTTTTTCAAACGCATGGGAAGCACCTCGTGTTCCTATCCGGGTCTGGGCAACAGCGTTTAAAAGGCAACTAGTAAATACCAGGCATCGCAGGATGACAACGTGCTTTGCTTTGGGGCGGGTGACAGAATGTCAAACCCGCTGGGGTGACCCTTCGCTCGCTTTGGGATATAGATCATCGCCCTGAGCCGCTCGTGCGGCGGCCTCCACCTTGTTGGTGTCTTGGGGGGTTTCTTGTTTTAAGAGGCAGAGGCACAGTTTGCTGCAAGGGAGGCACTGGGGTCTGCTGGTTTTTTAGGGACACTCTGGTTACGTTACTGATTTATGTGTAATGTAACACAACTCTGCAACAAACTTGATTTCATGTGGACTGAGGGAGACTTTTCTCAGTCTGCTAACACAGCTGCCATATCATAGCTCTAAAAGAAAACCTGAATAGAAATCAAGATTTATGCTACGCATCTGGACATGATAAAAGGAATTTAGTTTGATACATTATTTTCTAGAAAAAAATCCATGAATATTGGAGGCTTTTAATTGATTTGTTCTGGTCTCTTCCTAGATATTAAACTGGCCGGCCTCTAATTCCCCAGGCCTCTCTTTCTCGGGCCTTTAGGACAAAGCACCGCGTAGTCCGGTGGGCTCTCCTTTATGAACGTACAGGGGAGTATACAAGAATTATATAAGGAAGCTCAAAAACCCCTTCAGACTGTTCCTTAAGTAGTGTAGGTGGAATTTCAGAAACTTAGCTGATTTGAATATATTTGGTTTACCTGGATATACCTTTAATATTTCTCCACGTTTGGACTAAAACATTAACATTTATAGTTTTTCCTGAAGTGTCAATGACTTGCTATTCTTATTACTATGACCCAACTATTCCCTTTTTCTCATCCCCTTTGCAATTAGCAAAGAGGGTTCTATTTCACATTTGTTTTTTGTTGTGTGGTTTTTTTTTTTTTTTTTAATATTAGTGAGACTACACCAACCAGTTAATGTTATTAGGATAGCTCTTACAGAAAAAGACTGTTAAAGCACAGTACTGCCTCCTTCTCCCAGGTGTATGGCACAGAGTGCTTCAGTGATGTCCCAGATCCCACACTACGTCACACACTACGACAAACCACACACTTTGATTGTAATATGGTTATAATAATAGTGGACAATGGGTAACGGTTTTAAACGGAAAGTGGAGATTTAGATTAGATATTAGGAAGAAATTCTTGACTGTGAGGGTGGTGAGCCCCTGGCCCAGGTTGCCCAGAGAAGCTGTGGCTGCCCCATCCCTGGAGGTGTTCAAGGCCAGGCTGGATGGGGCTTGGAGCAACCTGGGCTGGTGGGAGGTGTCCCTGCCCATGGCAGGGGGGGGGGACTAGGTGATCTTCAAGGGCTTTTCCAACCCAAACCATTCTATGGTTGTAGGGCTGTAAGAAGAGATACATGCGATGGGTTTAACCTAACTTGGCATTGCAAAGGGCACATTTACCTCAGGAGTAACAGTGCTGACTAAATTAGGTCTTGTCCAAATGGAAAGCACTCCCAGCACTGACAATATTTATACTGACAAAGGAGTTTATCTGCTGGTTTTAACAGCAGACCATGGTCCAAAAATGTGAAGTTTGTCTCCAGAAAGGTTAAACTACATATTTGTGTATTTTTTTTTTAAGATGTGTCGGTGGTTTTGCATTTTCCAAACATTAAAGATGTTACAATGGGATAATTCAGTTTTGCAGACAGAGTCCCAAGTGTAAGATACTCCTCAAAAATCTATATTTTCCTTAAATCTTGTTTCTATGCTGTCACTTTACAGAGGAGCACTTGTTTTGCTTTTGTTGAAGGATTAGGGCGTGGGAACTTTTGCCAGCTATAAAGGGTTTACCATTGTGCATTTTACCTTTGTGTGTCTGGAGCGAAGGGTGGCTCTGGCAACAGGAAAATCATCTCAGATTAGCACAGTCCATGCAGAAAGTCCATAACGTTGCTTTTGCAATAAAGTGTTTTAGGGCTGACACTCAAGAAGACCAACTGAGAGCTGTGGGGGCAGTGCTAGTTGCTCATATGGATGTAACTGGTGGATGTTTGGTGGTGGAAAAAAAATCTCTGTACAAGGCAAAACTATTTGCCTATAGGCTTGAAGAGTTAAGTGCTGTGAAACACTTAAGTTACATTCATTTTTAGAAATGAGGGGGGAAACAGTTGTGTACTCCAAGCAAAATTTATTAGAAGTCTATTCAAGAAAAAAACCACAGAGACCTTTTGCTTGTAGGAATTCAAAGTCAGTTACCTGAAAGCCAGGTATGAAAAACCTGTATTTCTTCTAAAATCGGATACAGAGTAGAAACAGTACTTTTAAAATATCACAGGCAACAGATATTTAAGTATTCAATCATAAATGGCATCAAAGATAGGTATTAATCTCACAGCAAAGCTGCATGCAGATCTAGTGTAAAACTGAAAGCCTTTGAATATAAAGCTTTTGCCATGAAATCTGCAATAATAAAGGTATGCTGCACAAAGATGTTTCTTTACCTGTGTCTTAATGACATTTCTCAGTAATAAAGACATATGTACATTTAGATTTGGCTGGTAAACCATATTTTAATTAATAAAATTTTGCATAAAATGTTATCTTACAGAATTGCACTATCCAGATGTGCTTACGGTAAATAGAGCAAGAACAGAAAAACGCATTGAAATGTTCTGTATGTTAAGAGGGCAAAGATCAAATAAGGAACTTGATTTTTTTTAAAATCAACAACCAAATGGCTCTGTACAAAAAAGCAAACATATGTACAAAATGCTACAGAGACTACATACATTTTGATAATTTCAATCGTTTACCCATTAGAAATGCAGTAGAAGCTTTTGCCATCTATAAGGTGCTGCAGAAACCAAATCTCAATTTTTTGCTTTTATAAAGCCATAGTCGTTATCATCCTGTGCCTTAATTTCATTTGCTATTTATGCTTACCTTTGCTTATGGAAAATGTGTGTTTTCAAATACTTCAGGAAAAAAAAAACAAACAAAAACAACCCACTCTAAAATGTACCAGTTTTTTTAATACTTGTGACTCTTTTTTTTTTTCTGTACTAAATTCCTAAAAAGAACGTGTAACTCAGGTTTCGTTAACATATATATGTGTATATATAGAGTGAAGTAAATCAGTACATGATACTTGTGAATATTTTTTTTCAGGTGGCTATGTTAGGAGAAAAAAAAAACCCAAACAACCCACGACCCTTTGCACTAACACTTTACTTCCTGCTTCTTAACGTTCCTGATACGAAAAACACTAAACTCTCAAATTTCTTGTTGCTTACTACTGCAACTCTCTGATTACAACCATTTGAGGTCAGACATCAGTAGCAGGTTATTATTGTCTATGCTTATATCATTGTCTGGCTCTTCGTTAAATCCTCTTTCCCGAGATTTTACGCCTCTTGCACTTCTTGTATTTTAACAGAAAACTCTACAGCTTTATTAGGGAAAAAAGAAAAAAGGTTTAGCCAATACCATTGCACAGGTTCAGAACACTTGCAGTTCTTCCATTTTTTTTTTTTTTCCACTACGCTTGCTTGAGATTTTACAATCACTGTGCATATGTTACAACATACAAGTGCAGGCAAAAAATCTACATTTATAATTTGTCATACATTGTAAACCAGTACAATAGGCAAACCTGTGATACGGCAAAGTGAAAGCAACAAATGCTGCCAAGCTAGTAAGAATGTGGAAACTCAAACAATTTTTTTTTTTTTAAATAGTAAACAGCAACTTTCCCCCTGTCTTACATGCATGCTGAAAAAAATCCCATCAGACTTCACGATAGTACCACAAATGTCCAAACCAAAACCAGTTTCTCCCCCTTCCTGCCCACCCCATGGCAATTCATCCGTGTACCTGTCACCAGGCTTCTCCTGTGTTGGGCTTTTTCCTATATCCTTCATATTTGCCTATGGAAAGACTTTAAAGCAGGGAATATTTAACTGTTGAAACGACTCCTCTTGGTTCAGAAAAGCTTAGTTATTCACACCGTGGTCGCTGCTGTACTACTGCTGGGACGGTTGGGCGGATGGGATGGGATGAGGATGGACTAGATGGCCTCTATTTGAGACTGCAAGCAAGAAAACGGAAGGCCAGCGGAGCGTGTTTTCTAGCAGCTTTATGCAGATGTGTTGCAGAGATGCAGCATAAATAAGTAGAAAAAAAAATAAAAATTCACAGCCTCTTGACATAGTTTCCAGGGAAAGTACCAAAGAATTTGGTTCTTCTTGAGGTTCCTGAAATTAGAAGCAATAGATGAAAGATGGGAATAACAACAGGCAATCACTATGTAAGCACGGCCTTTACATTTTCATGTTTAGTATTGCACAAACAGAAATATCTACAGTTCATTGTAACTTCAAAAAGTTATTTTGAATTTCACTTGTGAGTTGTGAGTTTTAGCAAATTATAACTGCAAATTATAACTCATATTTTGACTTGATATGTAGAAACAATATAATGGTAACAACATCAAGTCTATTTAAATAATTTGAATTTTTGCAAAGCTGTGGACTAGTTAAATGATTAAGTTAGCCACTGTGTGCATGAGGGTTTATGGAATGATTAAGCCACCGTATCTAGTTATGAAATCTCTGTTTGTTCAGTAGTACTTGGTTCTCACAAGTAGTCAGTTCTGCAAACGTAGTCATGCGAGTAAGTTTTACGTTACCTGCTCTTTATGAAGAGAGCAGTAACACACAGTTCATTTTGTGTCATGTAAGAATGACAACAGTGCTGTACAACAGCCTGGAGGCACGTGTCAATTTGTGTCCATCAATTCCAAAAGACACAAGTGAAAAATGACCCACTAATTTCAGTGGATTTTGGTTGGGATTTCTCCTGATAAAGCCAGGTTTGGGGTTTTTATGCCAAATACCAAAAATCTCTTTGTTTATAAGACACCAAGCAAAGAGGGCAGCAAAGCTCGGGGGCGGGGGGAAAAGGCAACCAAATGAAAACATACCCACAAACCATCCATCATCACATTTTTCCATCACATCAATGACATCTCCCTCTCTGAGCTCCAATTCATCTTCGTTCCTAGGAGTATAGTTATATAGAGCCTGAAACCTTAAATAGGACAAATGATGCATTTTAAAAAGAAGTAAGAGTTCTTTGCACCTTTGCTGAAGTAAAGGAGCTGGTTTAAACGTTAACTAATAAATAACACTTCTTGCAAGTATAGGGGAAAAGGGTGTATTTTGCCTGGTGGACTTCAAAGCTAGGTACTTATAGCAGATAAATCAAACTTTATCGGAAAGGTGACTCATCGGCCACTAAAGACTGGGGACTCAAGGCAAGCCCCACGGCTCCTCAACCAGTTGCTTTGAACGCAGAATTCTAGTATTATTTCTTTTAGCACTATTTTATAGTTGAGTCACCAAAACAGAGGACTTCTAGAGGGCAGTCTGTAGACTAGTAGCCCATTAACCCCTTCCATGACCAGTACCTAAACCTGTGCCTCTGCCTTTAAGCTCCGGAGAGCTGTACCCAGCCTACGCCGCCTCTGCCCCAGCACAGCAAAGTGCCACGGGGCACAAGCATAAGCTTTGGCACTTACAGGAGCTCTGCAGGTAAAAGAGGTGCCTGCCTCTGCGGGGAAGGTGGAGAGCAATTGCTATTTGGAAACATACTGGCATAACCCCTTCCCTGGTTAAAACTGCCCCTGATTTATTTATATATATTCATATATTTATTTATTAGAGAGAGATATATATGTAAAATATATATATAAATATTTCTGAGAGTGAGGGAGAGGCTTGAATCAAATCAGAGGACATAAGGATGGCAACTCGAGCAGTATTCAGACACTGACTTGTACCTCCCCCCCCAGCCGTGGGCTGCAGATTGAAAGATGTGAGGTGGATAAATGGAAAGAGGTATTATGAGACTACTAAATTGATTATCTTTTTGTTCCTTCTCAGCTTTTAATTGAGTTTCTCGGAATTGAAAGAACGGCGCTAAACTCTGAATAGGGGGCACTGAAGGTGCTCGGGCTGAAGATTGCTGCAAAAGCCCACGGTCCTGCAGAGTCAGAATCTGCCTTTTATTCTCACCATCTGAGCCCCAGCTATGACTGACTGTGTGTAAAGGAGTGGGCACAGCTGCAGAAGTTGCACAAAGGAAATAGTTTTAATTTCAAAATATTGAAACAAAACATAATCACGTCCATTTTTCCCTCTTAACAACAGCTCACTGACTTTAAAACCTTAATGCCGTTACACTTCCCCCAGTAAAACCAAAATAACTCCCCCTTTGATGTCTTGGTACTGAATATTTCCATTAGCTCTGTATCATTCAGGCAAAGTCTCCATGGCTTCAATGAGATGTTTATTATTTCACTAAAAAATTCTTGCTCTTGAAGTCCCATTTGAAAATGCTATTTACAGACTGGGACTATGCTTAGTGTAATGATAGTCGTCTTGAGTAAACTTACACTTATTTTCCACACTGCTGATTTGGAGAAAAGAAAGACACTGTTTCAAGACAAAAATGATTTTAACTTAATTTCTCCTTACTGGCAGTTATCCCTCCAAATCTGAAAAGTCTAATTTCATATTTTAATCACACTAACCAAATGGAACGGGACTGGTTATTTAAGCAATTATCTCTGGTAATTTGTGTAGCAGGAGTAAGAACAATCTGTGCAAAAAATTAAATGGCAATAACATTATCTGTCATGCTTATCATTATTCCAGGAAAGCAGAGCTATGATGATATTCCAAAACTGATTAAATGCAGCTTCCAAAGGTAGAGCAGATGCAGATGTAATGTGTTGTGAATGGGATTCAAGCCAATAACTTACGCAAATACGGCAACAAGAACTTCCCAATTAGCACACTTTGTACTTTAGAAATCTAATCTTAATCATTTCTAGACAGCCCATTTTAATAACTCCTTTGTAGTCATTCCATCCTCTCTTTGCGAACCTAAGAATTTCTTAAATATATAAATGTATATAAAAATACTCTACTACCATTTAAAACACTAACAGAATACATATTCAAGACAGAGAATGGTTGGTTGGCAATTTAAATATGTTTCTATCTTTAATTTTAGAAATAAGTAACTTTAGTCATGAACTACTTAAACTATATTGAACAAAATTGATTAGACAATTATTGCTTACAAAACAGAGTTAGATGCTCAACAATACTCACAGGAGCTTGTGGTTTTAGTGAGATTGAAACCAAAATGTCTCATTTTCATTATATGTTATCTGTGGTATAGTTATTTGGTAATTTTTTCACCCCTCTTCTCTTTTGCCATTTCTTAAAGTGACTAACAGGTAAATCTTTAAATATTTTTGAGATGCTAAGCCTTAGTTACATTTAGGAGCATTCATCTAGTGGGGCATACTCCACAGTGCTCTGATGCTGGAGGAAGAATGGCTATTGCTTCCAGTGGTCACTGAAGCAGGACCCGAGTGCAAGACTGGGACACCACCCCCTAACCCCCCCCACCCCCTGCCAAATAATAATTAAAAAAAAAAAAAACAACCAAAAATACCCCAAAACAAGCCTGCACTGAACTTGCATTTTAACAGTCAGCACTGAAATAGCCTTCCACGTTTTATCCCAAGGGCATACATTGTTTGTAAATATAAGACTTGAGATCTAGGTTATTCTCCAGTTTTCAGAAAGGCTTTCTTGTCTCTAATTTTTAGATTGCACATGTAAATTACACCAAAAAGTGTGAGCCTGTGTTCCTGTGATCACAGTTATCAAGTTGTTTTTTTTTTCTCTCTATTCACATTCAGAACTGTTTCTGAATAATTTGTCAAGTTGGTAAAGCAGATGAGTTGAATCAATATTAAATCTTAATTGGCATTCTGCTGAGCTGTAAACATGGAGAGAATAAAAAAAGTTATTATAAAATTATTATCCCTTTTCAGTATAAATGATGGAGAACTGTAAGTTGGCACGTCTGTCTGAGTTTGATGTAAATTAGACAACTACGGCTTTGCCCTCTGGGACCTTCTTGGATATCTTCCTACATCATGCGGTTATCTGTAAATTTCTGAAATCTCTTCATAATTGTACTTGGCAGGCTAACAAATCATTTGAGAATGGGCTGGCTATTGCTTAAATGTTAGGGTTTGGTTTAGTAGACAAGAAGTATACTTACGGTTCCCCCCCACTGTGTATGTTTTCATGAGCAAGCACAGGGCGCTGTGGCTGAAATGAAATGATTTGAAATGTAATAAAGATTTGTAGTCTGAGGACCAAATAGCTGGACAGGGGCATGATACAGAGTTGCTTAGGGGTTCATATTCTACCTGGTGTAAAACACCCCCGCCCCACCCCCAAAACACACTAAATTCTTAAGAGAAGCAAAAGAATCTTGGCAGGTTTAAAGATCTGTTTTTTGGAGGACATAGTAAAAACTAAAACAAAGCTGTGAACTTTATCAACAGTCCATTCTATTTATAGTGGAGTAGAAAATTGGAATAGAACCCTGCTGCCTCTTCACTGTCAAACAGAAATAGCATTAGAAAAATCAGATGCAACTGATGAACACTATACATTCCTTGGGTGAAGTAGATTTTTAGATAAGCAGAAATAAAATCTCCTATACGTAATGGCAGAATTTAGAATATTCACAGACAAACAACATACCCATTTACATTACGCACACACAGAGTACTAACTTGGCAGGCGTAACATGCTATGCTTTAATTAATTCTGTTTCATCTCAAGGGGGAGCACAAAGCCATGCAGGCTGTTGGGAGGCATCGAGCACAAAGAATTTTTGAAAGAATGCATATAATTGTGTGAAAATAACAATTAACACTTCTACTTCAGAGGAAAAAGTAGTTTGTATTTCCAGTGCAAAGCTTTATGAAAGGAACTATTTTCCTTCTTAATGGAGCATTACCCACCACTACTATACAATAAACCTGGACGCGATGGAAATGAGAAATATTAACCTCCTACAGAAACCACATCCTGCTCAGAAAGACATTGACTTCTGCCCATTAGAATCTGGCTGGGGCCAGAAAGAGCACAGGAGCAGCTGCTTGGGAGAGCTCTTGATGTGAGCAGCGATCGCATTCTCTGTTGACTGAGGATGTCCTGCGGTCGCGCTGTACAGACTGACAGGCTCATACAGGTCTGGGAACCGTATCTGTTTTGGGAGCGTGAGTATCAAACACAGCTCACAGCACTTTTCTTTCATGAATTGAGTGAACTGTAACCTGATCTTGAAGCCATGGGACTTGTCTTATTGCTCCATGGCTCTCCCTTTCCCAGGTTTGGCTATTTCAGTTCATCTTGCTTCAGTTTACTCTTGAAGATGACGCAGTGTTCCATGAGAGAAGGTCGTGGTAAACAACCCACAGCCTGATGATATCAATTGCATGTTAAAAGGCAAGATGCTTTTTTTCCTTTTTCCCCTGCCAACATCTCCAGATGAAATTGAACTAGTTAAATTTCTTTTCACCATGGTTGTATGTATACATGTAGAAAGCATTGTGAACATTCTCCACTTCATTTTTACAGTCAGAGTAGGATTTTAAAAAGATGCCTAAAGATGCAGGCAGGCAGATTACACAACTTTTATTTGTATTAATGACAGCTACGCAGGAAAGAGCTTTTCAAAGTAAAGGAAAAAAATATTCGTTTATACTCTTTGACTCTCTTCTCTTCCCTCGCTTAGCTCTCCTCTGCCAGTGTACAAGACAGATAATTTTTACTGAAGAATCCAACAATAAGGATTGCAAATTAGACAGTTCAGTTCTTAGTAAACCCCCTTGAGCAGTTGGCTTGCCAAGCAAGAAGAGACTATTCCACTGGGCAGATTGCTCAGTATTTGGATTGGAATCTGACCTTATTCTCTGCTAATCTTTCATCAGGTCCGTAAGTGAGCTGAATGCCAAAGATAGTCAGAGATGCAACAGAACTCAACCGAGGTTACAGATTTTTCTTGGAAACAATAAATGTCAATGTCCTAAACAATACTACAAATGATTTAATGCTTTGAACATATACCAAGCCAGGGAGAAATTAGATAGCTCAGTGTTACCTATTTTTTTTGTGCTTCAATGCTTTAAAATGTTTTATTGCTAGTTAACTACTGTAGAAGCACGATGATGAAAAAAATCGAGGTAAGTGAAGATTTTCAACTCTATGTTATTGCTACAGAGATAGCAGATTCACCTTCGATGGAATTAGAATCTGGAAGAACTGGTGTGAAGTAATCTGTGCTGTGTCTGAACAGAGGGGCCTTGGAGCTCGCTCTCTATCCGAATGCATTCCTCAATA